ACCTGCATGTGCCTGTTCCTCTCGTTACTGTGATTACATAATTCAGTGAGGCCAGAACTCAGCCATGGAGATGAGCGGGAAAGGAAATAATTATTTCTATGACAACTCAATTGTGCTGTGGAAACAGCCGAAAAAGGCAGATGCTAAAAAATGGCTGCTTGCAAAGAGACCAAAGCTATAGATGGCTCCTAAAGGACCCTGGAGTGATCAGGTTTCTAGAGGCAGGAAGAAGACTGCGGGTGTTGGGGAAGGGGAGGGGAAGAGCTTTTGTTTGTGTATTTGTTTGTAGGAACACAGAATCTCACTCTGTATCCCAGGCTGGCCTCAAGCTCTCATCCACCCTCCTGGCTCAGCCTCCCAGGACTTGGGATCACAGGTGTGTACACACACACACACACACCGCTCTGAGCCATTGTTTAATAGCACAGATGTTCACATTTTCTTTTGTTTATTTTACTGGTTATTTATTTATTTAGAATTGAATTTTTGGAATGACTGAGCTATATCTTTAGTTTGTAGAGGTCATTTTGAGTTTTTTTTTTTTTTTTTCTTTTTCTCTTTTTTTGGTGCCAGGGATTGAACTCACGACCATGCACTTGTAAGGCAGGCGCTTATGCCGCTGAGCTAAATCCCCAGCCCCTATAGAGGTCATTTTGTTTTGTTTTTTAAAACAGGATCTTGCTTGAACTCACTATGGAATCCAAGCTGTCATCAAATTTACAGTGATCCTCCTGCCTCAACCTTCTGGGTGTGGGGATTACAGGCTGCACCACCATGCTCAGCCAGGTTTTCAGTTTTAAGGATGAAAATGTTCTGGAAATTTCTTGAGTGACAATATGAATATGCATAATGCTACTAAGCTGTAAAATTAGAAATGGTTAATAAGGTACATTTCTTTTTTTTTTTAATTTTTGTCTTTTTGAGACAAGGTCTGAGTGTGCGGTTCAGGCTGGCCATGCGCTCACTTTATAGCCCAGGTTGGTTTTGAACTTGCAATGATCCGCCTGCCTCAACCTCCCAACTGCTGGGATTACAGGTATGCATCACCATACCCTGCAAATATTATTTTTTAATAATTAAAAGTAAAATTAAGCCATATGTGGCAATGCATGTCTGTAATCTTAGCACTCTGGGAGCCTGCAGTAGCAGGGTTGCAAATTCAAGCTCATCCTGAGAAATTCAGTGATTTAGTGAGACACTGCCTCAAAACAGAAAGTAAAAAAGTGCTAGGGACAGAGCTCAGTGTGAAGACACTGGGTTCCGTCCCCACTAATACACAGGCGCACACACAAAAGTAAAATAAAATAAATTAGTCAAGCCAGCCATATGCCTATAATTCTAGCTACTCAGGAAGCTAAGACAGGAAGACTGAATGAACATTCGAAGGTAACCTGGGTGATTTAACAAGATGCTGCCTCAAAAAGAAACACATTAAATAAATAAATAAATAAATAAATAAATAAATAAATAAAGTTTGGATGTAGCTCTGTTGCTCAATCCCTAGTATTAAAAATAAATAGTCGGGCATGGTGGTGCATGCCTGTAGTTTCAGGCTGTAGTTTCTCCTGCCTCAGGACAGGCAGGAGAAGTGCTGTGAGTTTGTGGCCAGCCTGAGACTCTGTCTCAAAAAAATACAATGCAATAAATTTAAAAACCCAAAAAATGTAAATAAAGGTGTTGGCTGTAAATCAAAAGATTGGCGAGTTACTACACATATGTTTTAAGTTAAGACAAAATGTCCAAATCCTTAGCCCCTTTATTTTTTATCTTATTTTCATTTTTTTGCGGTGCTGAGGATTCAATCCAGGTTCTTCCCCAGTCCGCACCCCAACTATGCTGACTTTTAAATGATTCTTTGAAATTTTGTTGCATAATTGACCAATTTGTAGTCCCAGATCAGAAGGCGCCTAGAGAAATACTAACAATGTTGGGGATAATAACTAGTGCACAGTTGCTATATATTCAGCAGGAAGGGCTGGTGGTTAAATCTAGAAACCCAGCAAGCAGATCTCTGGATGTTCCAGGGAGCAGGAGGACATTTCTAAGCAGGACGCCAGGGAAAGGGAACAGTGTTCTTCCAAGCAGAAGGATACATGTGGGCACTGAGGGGCTAGAGGAGGAGGTGAAGGTGTGGGCAGGACACAGAGAGATGGCTTCTCATGAAACCCTCCCAGAGCAAGGAGACCTACCATGAGGCAGGGTGGGGTGGGGAGATGTGTAGCCCACAAAGCCAGACCCCTCTGCAGGTCTTAGGTGGGTCACTGGAGAAACTCAGAAGTCTCCCAGCCTAGCTGTGGCAGTGATGCACGCCTGTGATCCCAGCACTTTGGGAGGCTGAGGCAGGAAGATTCAAACCCTAACTTGGACAATTTAAGACTTGAGAGGCTTGGGGCTGGGGATTTAGCTCAGCGGCATAAGTGCCTGCCTCGAAAGCAGGCAGTCGTGAGTTTGATCCTTGGTATCGGTAAAAATGAAAAAGCCAAAAGAAAAAAGAAAAAAAAAGATTTGAGAGGCTCAGCCTGGCAACCAGAAAACTGGCAGGGCCTGCGATGTGGAGTCCTAGCAGGAGCTCATAGGAACCATGAGCAGTTGTTAAATTTTCAATTTTATGAGCTGACTGTTAAGCACAACTGTTATGAAATTTCTGGTTATATTAATGTACAACTAAGTAAAGCGTATTAGGCCAGGCATGGTGGTACACACCTATAATCCCAGCACATGGGAGGCTGAGGCAGAATAAATACTATGAAGGCCAGCCTGGACAAAGTGTGTTCAAGACAAGCCTGAACTACATAGAGAAACCCTGTCTCAAAAACGCAACAGTACCAGGTACCTGCCTATAATTCCAGCACTTGGGAGGCTGAGGGAGGAGGATTACCATGTTCAAGACCAGCCTGAGCTACACGGTAAGAGCCTTTCTCAAAAAAAAAAAAAAAAAAAAAAAAAAAAAAAAAAAAAAGAGAGAGAGACAAAAATGAAAAGCATATTAAAGCAAACATTTAAAGTATATCAAAACTCATCACTGTCTAAGGACTTTCCTCTGTTTTCCTGTTGGGTTGCTCATGAGGTTCTTCTGCTTCCTGCTCCCAGATGGGAGAAACAGCATGGGATGGGGTGGCCAGCTCTGCCCCATCCACATTTAGGGACAGCATTGTTACCCTGTCAGCAGAGCTTGATTCTTTAAAATTTTAAGTTATTGGACCACAGATATAACTCAGCAGCACAGGTGCCTGCCTGGCAAACATGAGGTCGTGAGTTTGATCCTTGATACAAAGAAAAAAAAATTTTTTTTTTTGTCTTTTTCGTTTTTATCGGTACCAGGGATCGAACTCACGACTGCCTGCTTGCAAGGCAGGCACTTATGCCACTGAGCTAAATCCCCAGCCCCAAGAAAAATTTTTAAGTTATCATTATTATTTTTTTTAGACAGAGTCTCCTTACATAGCCCAGGCTGGCTTCAAACTTGCAGTGATCTTTCTGCCTCAGCCTCCAGAGTGCTAGGATTACAGACATATGCCACCATGCCCAGATGGCAAGACTATCTTTTCAAGGAAAAGCACTCAGCTATTTTGTACAGCTGGGCTTCCTCTGAAGTTTTCTCAGTTTGGCAAGGAGTACCACAGAAGTCAATGAATCTTCAGGGTTTATACTGCCAGGGCCATTTGTGGAAGTGGTGTTCCAGGAGGCGGTAGAGACAGAGGAAAAGGCCCAGACTTCCCTTTGAGAGGGGCTGGAGTGCAAGGGAAAATTCAGATCAGAGGCAGGGTCAGCAGCTGGCCTCTGAGATGGCTGAAGACTTGGGAGGGTACAGTGCTGTCCCCTCGAGGCATTGGAGTTGACAGCAGCCCTGGCCTGCAGTGTAGACCAGCGATCGGGCAGGTGCAGACAGAGATTTGTTTTGTGCATGCAGTGTCCAGGTGATTTCCCTGTGCCCAGGTTTAGCTCTGGCCAGGGCTGGCCAGGCTGGTGCTTGTGGGTGGCATTTGTCTGCCTGGGCAGTTTAAATGAGCACCATTTGGCTGCACTTTCTGGTTGCAACTCAACCAACGAGCGGTGGGCAGTGTTCTCTTTCCATGCTCAGAACTGGGGCTCAGCTGCCAGAGATGGTTAAGACGTTGCGTTGTGTGGGTCACAGGTGCCTGGTGTCCAGCTGCCTAGCTGTGAGCAGAGCTCCCTCACTTTGGTGGTTGCGGGCGCGAGTGCCCTCAGGTGGCCATCGGAGGCACTGCAGGTATGAAGGAACTAGGCAGTTGCCCTCGAATGGCGAGAGGTAGGAAAAGGGTCTTCTTGTTCCCGGACTCAGACTAACCAGAGAATCCTCTTTTACTGAATTACAGTTTATATACAGCTAAAATTTACATGCTTCAAGTTTCCAGTTTTATGAGTGTTGCTGATCTTGTACACCTCATAAATACCACTCAAAGTAAGTTCTAGAATATTTCCCCTACCCCAAAAAGTTCTTCCTTTCTCTTCCCAGGTAATCTACCTTTTTCCTTGATGTGCAACCACTGTTCTGACACACATTAGTGTTCTTTTTTTTTTTTTTTTTTTTTTGTCTTTTTCCTTTTCATCGGTACCGGGGATCGAACTCACAACTGCCTGCTTATTAGGCAGGCACTTATGCCGCTGAGCTAAATCCCCAGCCCCCACGTTAGTGTTCTTGATCTTTGTATAAGTAGAGTCATATATTAGGGTTTTTTAAATTTTAAAATACATTTTATTCGTCTACATTTGCAGTCATAATGATTACATTCACCTGGGAGAGTGACTACATGTAGGTAACATATCCTAATTAGTTTTTACTTTCCCTTCCCTCCCTATATTATAGGTTTCATTGTTTGCCTATTGGTAGTACTGTCTTTGAAACAGGGTCTCACTGTTGAACGTGCTGGCCTGGGACTCTTACACTCAAGTGATCCTCCTGCCTCAGTTTCCTGTATAGCTGGGGCTACAGGCCTGGCTTTATTTATTTATTTTTTTATTTAAAGAAAAAGAAAACAGTGCTCGCTTTGGCAGCACATATACTAAAATTGGAACGATACAGAGAAGATTAACATGGCCCCTGCTCTGCAAGGATGACATGCAAATTCGTGAAGCGTTCCATATTTAAAAAAAAAAAGAAAAAGAAAAAAAAAACAGTAAAAGAATACAAGTAATACAGAATTTCAAAAAAAAATAAACAAGAAATCACTAGTTAATAGATTACATATTGTCATCTTAGACATAGTTGTTCAAGTTACAGGATTAAAGCATACAAAGTAGACATTCAAACAGTGAGACTGCAAACAGTTGTGTTCAATGATCCAACAAAAACTTAGTAATATGGTCATCCATCTTACACACCTAAACACACTTGCAGTTGTATCCTTTAGAGCACTTTCTTTTCCTCTCTATTTTACAATAGCATTTACACATTTTGGGTTTTATTATTCCCATAGTTCTTATTACTTTTTTTTTGGAAGAGAATAAAACCAAATATGACAAAACAAAGCAGTCAGTCAAAACAAAGGATGGACATAGCACATGATGTAAAAACAAAATACAAGGTAATCAACAGTGTTTACCATAATGCCTCTTGCTACCTTAAAAATAATTGCCTAAATAATTAGGTATAATAAAATTGAACAAAACAGTACAGAACAAGACCAATAAAACCTAAATATTGGAGCCATTACTGAACTTCAAAAGAAGATAATAGTCAAACCAGAATGGGCATCATAGTGAATCTTATTGCCTTCAAAGTAGTTGCCTATTCCCTCAAACTTGATACTATCAAACAGAACAGAATAGAGTAAAATCAGTCAAAACAAGATGGTGAGAGCAATACAGGGTTTCAAATCAAGTTAACAGGAAATCAAAAAGTTACTATAATATGTCCTGCTAATTTTTTTGATTTTTTCCCTTAATTAAAAAATAATAAAAAAATTTTTTTAAAAGGGGGAGATTGAGATAAAAGAGGACATAACAACATAACAATACAGGTCAGAACAGAACAATTTAAGCAACATAATATTTCACCACAAGAAAATCCGACTTAAGAGTAGTTACCATAGTGTCTCTTTCCTTGAAATATTTGAGTTTAACTTCATATACTATAGCATCAAACATACCAAGACAGTGTGAAACCATTCAAGAGGATGAAAGTATTACAGGGTATTTAGAACCAGTGATGGAAAACGAACAACGGTTTCTATATTATCTCCTTGACTAAAAATATTTTGTTTATACTATCACATATAATAAAATCCAGTAAGATACAACATGATAAAACCAATGGAGACAGAAGAACAACAGTTTGGTGGGACTTCAAAACAAGATGATATTAAATCAGCACTAGCTATTATTGAAAGGATTTTGCTCCAGATGGGACACTGGAGCCTGGGAGGCGGAACCAAGGAGCTCTATCTTGAGGTCACCTTTCCCGCTCCCAAGCAATTTACCTGTGGCATCAAATGAATACCAATGGGCTACCAGTGCATCAGTAATGCCCCTTAGGCACCACCCCAAACCTAAGCTACATGTATGCCTCCACAACATGTGTCTGGCGGAGAGAACACCAGGCCCCAGAGGGTCATGGAGTCTCTCTCCACATTCTTAAAATAAAGGCCGCTTTATTTCATACTTCTTACCTTTTTAGCCATGCCGAAAATTGTATCAGATGGTTCCCTTCCGTGCCAAAAATTCTATCAATTATGATGTCTTGTTTTCTTCAAAATAGCTGTTGATGAGCTGGGGATTTAGCTCAGCGGCATAAGCTGCCTTGTAAGCTGGCAGTCGTGAGTTCGATCCCTGGTACGGATAAAAACGAAAAAGACCAAAAAAAAAAAAAAAAAAGCAAAATAGATGTTCATATCATCACAAACAATAATATCAAACAGCCCAGAATAAAACCATTCCAATTAATGAATGAAAACATCATAAGGCTTCAAAGCCACATAATGGGGAATCATGATTACCACATACTTTTATGTATTTGAATCATTTCTTACAATAGAAACTATTCAGTATTTATACATATGAGTTTGATTTATTTCACTTATGAGTATGGTCTCAAGCTGTGCCCATTTATTTATAAATATCTCAATGGGATCCTTCTTTATAGCAAAATATTTATAGCTCCAATGTATAAAAATACCACAACTTTTTTATCCATTCCTCAGTTGATGGACACTTGGGTTGTTTCCAAGATCTAGCAATTACAAATTGTGCTGCTATAAACATGGTTGCACATATATCACTGTGGTATGTTTGGGCTGGGGATTTAGCTCAGCGGCATAAGCACCTCCCTTGCAAGCAGGCTGTTATGAGTTTGATCCCTGTTACCAATAAAAAAATTGGCTTTATTATTTTTGATCCAGCTTATTTTGTTCAACATGATTCTTTTGCGGGGGGGGGGGCAGTACCAGGAATCAAACTCAAGCACAATCAACTTTGTGCTTGCCAGGAAGGTACTTGCCATTGAACTAAATCCCTGGCCCTGTTCAATGTGTTTTTGTGGTTCAGCTATGTTGATGTATGTTTGTTGTTAGAAAATTCACTTTTGTTGTGTTATATTCCATTGTAGGAATATACAAAGATTTTACATTTCATTCTCTTATTGGGGATTGCTTCTAGCCTGTAGCTATTATTAATAAAGTTGCAGTGGATACATCTTTTGCAAACATGTTTGTTTCTCTTGGTTATATACCTAGGTGTCACATTGCTGGGTTGAATGATGATGCTATGTTTAAATTTTTGAAGAAAAAGGACAGGGTGGCAGGGAGAAAGAATGAAAAAGGAATTAAGATGCGTCATGGACATGCACTAACTCCTGACAACGAATGTACTTGTTATGTGCTATAACCATGGACAAATAAAATAAAAATGTAAAAAAATAAATTTTGTAGTAGCACAATTTGTGATAGCTAAATCTTGGAAACAACCAAAATGTCCATCAATGGCAGAGTGATCTCGAGGCCTTCATAGGTAAATGGAGGCAACTTGAGACTATCCTCATAAGTGAAATAAATAAGAATCATATTTATAAATATCACATTGTGTTTTTAGGGTAAAAAGTAATAAGAACTGTAGGAGTAATAAAACCCAAAATGTGTAATTACTATTGTAAAAAAGAAAAGAAAAAAAAATGCTCTAAAGGATATAATTGCATGTATGTTTAAGTGTATTAGATAGATAACCATATTACTGAGTTTTTGTTGGATCGTTGAGCAGAAGTGTTTGCAATCTCACCGTTTGAATGTCCACTTTGTATGCTTTAATTTTGTAACTTGAACAACTATTTCTAAGATGATAGTACATAATTTATCAACTAGTAATTTCTTACTGTTTTTTTGAAATTCTTTATTATTACTACCCTTTTTTCTGTTTTGCTTTTTTCTCTTTAAATAAAATTTAAAAACCTTTTTGTGATTTACAGAAACACTTTTTTTAGATTATTGATATAGTAACTTATATTGCACATTTTTAAAATAGTAAGCCAATATTGCATTCTTAGATTATCTGCATCATTATAATGTATAACCATTTTGCATAGTATTTGATTAAAGTACTAAAATTTTATTTCAAATTTGTATATCCATATTCATTACAAATATGTTATTTACTGTTATTTTGTTTTGTTTTGTTTATTTACACTGTTATTACCTGATTTCTGTACCAGGATGATTTTAGCATCACAGAGGGAATTGTGTACTTCATTTTTCTGAAAAATCTTGTGTAAAAAAAGATCTAATTTTGGTTTTTAAAAGCTGTATACATAATTTTTTTCTTGAAATTCTGTATTATTTGTATCCTATTACTGCTTTGTTTTTTATTTCCTTTCTTTTTTCTCTTTAAATAAAAAAAAACTGTATACATATACTTATCTATTTATCATGTCATGTATGCATCAATAATGTTATTTGTACTAACTTTTGGAAAGTAGGAAATAAAATGATGCTTTTTACACAAAAATTTTTGATGGGGTCCTGGGGAGTGTAGCTCAGTGATAGAGTGTGTGCTTAGCATGCATTAGGTCCTGGGTTTGATCTCTGGCACCTCAAAAAATAAAAATAATAAAATAAATTGTTTTTTATTTAATTTTTAAATTTATTATTTATTTAAAATTTGAAGAGGAGCTGCGAAGCTGCTTTGTACAGCAGCTGTCCCATTTAGCATCCTGGCCAACTTGCAGAGTGATGACCGCTTCCCTACACTTATCTGTCTGGTTGATGATAGTCATTTCTGTGGATGGGAAGCGGTTTTTCATTGTGTTTTTGATAAGCAGCTCCCTGAGGTCTAATTATGTTGAGCTTGTATTCATGTGCTGATGGGCCATTTGTGTATCTATTCAGATGATAGGTCCTTTTCCAGTGGGTTATTTGCCCTTTTGTGATTGAGCCATAAGAATTGCCAGGTGTCAGTGTCATGGGGCTGTGATACTGGGAGACCAGGCCTCAGGTCAGACAGAAATTTCAGAAACATCTCCACTTTCTGGGTCTGGGGGAGCCTGCAGGCTGCTTGGGGCAAAGAGACAAAAACAGAGTCTGTAGAATGGAGTACAGCAAAAGGGGAGCAAGTGTGGGGAGTCAGGTTGAGCTCCTGAGCCTCACGTTTGCAGTATGTGGTAAAATACTGGATGTGGTGGTACACTCCTGGAATCTCAGCACTGGGGAGGTGGAGGAAGGAGGTTCACCGTGAGTTTGGGTCACATAGTGAGACCCTGTTTCAGAAACAGCAGAAAGAAGAAGAAGAAAAACCAAAGGAATAAAAGATCCCTGATGTCCCATTCCTTGGAAGCTACTCTATTTTCTGGGCAGATCACTTTGCCTCTCCAACCCTTCCTCACATTGTCCATGAAATGGAATTGCAAGTAGAGTGTGGTGGGCACAACTAAACACCATCACTTGGAATGCTGAGACAGGAGGATCGCCAAGACTTTGAGGCCAGCCTGGACTGCATAGCGAGACCCTGTCTCAAACAAACAAAGAAGGAAGAAAGAAAGAAGCAGTCATTTCCTAACATGGCCACAGAGTTCAGTGTCTCACTGGTGCTGGTGTAGGAAAGTTCTGCAAGTGCCAGCACTCTCAGCTGTCCCCTGGTTTGTAACCCAGCTACCTCCTAGGGACCATTGGGTTGCTGTGCCTCACTCAGCTCCACTAGGAAAGAAAACAGCAGCCTACAGCTGCCCTGAGGGAGAAAAGCTAGAGCCCAGCTCCTGGTCCCTTGTGCCCTGCAAGTGACAGAATCAAACACCCTGCCTTTGGTCCTGTGACTTTCCCTGGCACTCTGAGGGAGGGACTTCCCTCTTCCTGATCCCCATGCACTAATTTTGGACTTAACCTACAAGATGTTCTGACTAACAGCATGTAAACTTAGGAGATATTTTCCATATGGAAAAAGGCCTGCTCTTTGCCATGCCCTCAGCACAAGTAGGTCCTCACACCTATTTTGTAGTTATGGTTATTAGGGGGATATTGGGGATCAAACCCAGGCCCTTCACACTGAGCTACATCCCCAGCCTTTTGTTTGATTTTGTTTTGTTGAGACAGGATAGCTTTTAGTTCAGGCCAGCTTCAAACTCACTGTGTGGTTCAGACTGCCCTTGAACTCATAGCCATCCACCTGTCTCAGCCTCCTGAGTTCTGAGATCACAGGTATGTGCTGCCATGCCTAGTGGCAGCCTTTTAAAAACTTTTTTACTTTTATTTTGAGAGGGTCTTCCTAAATTACTAAGTTGCCAAGGATGGGCTTGAATTTGTGATCTTCCTGCTTCAGCCTCCCAGAGTACTGGGAGTACGGTGTGAGGCACCACACCAGCCTTGGTTCATATATTTTTTTTATTTATGAGGCAGGATCTTACTATGTAGTCTGGGCTGGCTTTGAACTTGTGGCGATTCTCGTGCCTCTGCCTCCCAAGAGCTGGGATAACAGTTAGGCACCATGATGTCAAGTCAGTCCATATTTTTAACCATGGCCCTATACTGTTTCTCAAGGGAAATGATCAGTAAATGCCTGTTAAATAACCACATACACTATTCCCTCCCATTCACATAAATATGAAAGATACAACTCTTGAGGACACAGGTTCACTCTCGATTTTGGACCTGGTGATTTTGTCTATGTGATTATAAAGAAGATGATGGCAGACTGTAGCACTTTGGATTCTTCTGGAGAAAAGTTGCCAGTGATTATTGCATAGAAATCCTGATGTAGTCCCTGTAGGAACTGCAGGAGCCACAAGATGTCTCTTGCAATTTGTGTGTGAATTCCAGACACCTGCCCTGTAGTCCTCAATGTGGACCTCAGAGCCCCCTTCTGAAGGCCCATGTAAACCCCAGTGTCTTTCCTGAGGTGCACAGAGGACCCCCTCCTTTCCACCTGGAGGAGCTATCTTTTCTAATCTTTGCAGGATCCCATCTGTCATATCATGGCTCCTCCCATAGCTCCATCCATCAGGCTGGGTCTGAAAAGGTTTTTAAACTTCAGTATTTGAGACTGGTTCTTGCTATGGAGTTCAGGTTGACCTTGAGTTCACTATGTAGCTCGTGCTGGCCTCAGACTTGCAGAGCTCCTCAGATGGTAGCTGCCTGAGTGCTCAGGTTGTAGGGACGCTCTACTGCCTAGGATAGGCTTAATTTACTGGAGAGACTGGGATCAGTGACCACGTGGGTAACCCAGGGGCAGGGCCAACAGAGAGTCCAGGTGTCCTGCCTGTCTCCCAGGACTCTTCCTTCCTGGTGGCCTGGTGGTGGATACGACTTCCTGCTCAGCCCCTTCCAGCCCCAAGGCCCCCTCTCTTCATCTTCTACTCCCACACTAGTCTGCCTTTCTTCTGCACCTCCCCTCTCCAACCCAGCTGTGGGAGAGAGGCTTCATGCCAGGGTAGGCTGAGCCAGACAATGGGCCCTTATTCTGGGCAAAGAATCCCTGCAGTGTCTTCTGCCCACTGAGGACCAGGGTGGTATGGGTGCGGGTGGAGATGGTGGAGCTGTGTAAGGGAGGAGCAATTGGCAGCAGGAGACAGAAGGCCCTGGCTGTGGGGATCCCACAGCGGGTTACTATGTAAACAGCATTGTCAGTAAAAGGCTGTCTTCTGCCACAGCCTCATCTCTCCAAGTACATCCCTTGGAGTTTTTAAGCATTTACTCTGCTCTTTACTCTGTTGGTATTTATCTCTCCTTTTCCAACCCTCCTCTCATGAGTACTGGGGATTGAACTCAGGACCTTTGCACTGAGCTACATCCCAACCCTTTTTTATTTTTTCTTTGAGACAAGGTCTAGGTAACTTGCTCAATTGGGTTTTATCTTATGATCCTCCTGCCTCAGGCTCCCAGAGTTGTGGTATCATGGGGAAGAACCCCAACCTATTACATGTTAGATGTGCCAACTGCCTGTCTCATGATACCAGAGAGTGGATTTGGGGAGGAAAAGTAGGTCAAAGTGAAAAAGGCTTATTGAAAGAAAGCTCCTAAGAGACATGAGCAGTCCCTAAAATAGGTTTCTATAGAGGTTCTTTGTCCAAGGGTATTTTATACAGCAGATTCACAACATGGGTAAACTACAATCAACCAATACGATCACAAGAAGAGCTACTTAGCTACTATTGATCCTGTAGGAAAGTGAGACATGTAGTCAGGCTATATGGCAAGGCATCATTAACCTTGGTTTATCTGTCACTTCTGACATAGAAGGAACCAAGGCATCCCTGGAAAGGGATGGGAGTGTGGGTTAGGATGTTCTGGTCAACTGCCTGTGTGTCTGATGCTTGTCTGGGCTCCCTGGACCAGGTGGCGCTAATTATAGTACAATCTCAGGCTGCTGTTTACCTCCAGGGAGGCCTGCAGGCCTGGCTCTTCAGTCTCCATCCTGAGGCCTGGCTCTCTTTAAATTCACTCCCAGGCACCAGGCAAGGTGGCACACAAGTGTAATTCCAGCACTCAGGAGGCTGAGGCAGAAAGATCGTTGAGTTCAAGTCTAGTCTGTGCTACAAAGTGACCTTAAGGCCAGCCTAAACTGCATCGTGAGACCTTGTCTTAAAAAGATAAAATAATAAATAAATAAATCCACTCCCTATCACAGTTTTGATGTATCTCATCCTCTGCACCGACTTCCTCTCTGACCACCTATTAATTCCTGTCCATCTTAGCTGCCTATCATACTGGGGTTACAGATATATACCAGCACCCCAGCTCCCTCCTTCTTTCCATGTCTCTTTCTGTAGCCTGGGTGTCCACATCTCTCTGTCTTATCTTTGTCTCTTCATGTCACCCTGAATCTCTAGATCTGAGGACTTTCATCAGTTGCCACAATCTGCTGCTTTCTTCTTTTTATTTTCAGTAAGAAATCACTTATTTACTGCATTGATATTTGTTGACATTTCTGTTTTTAGGCTTAAAAATGTGATTTAAGTATTAAATAATTAAGGACAAATTTCCTGCTCTCTAAGTCTTTCTTGTTCCTCCCTGGGATGGCAAGGAGGAGTCTTTCTGCCCAGTTTATAGATTTGAAAATTGAGGCAATACCTCGTGGCCATCCCCCCTATCTCTGGATCTCCTCCCCCGTAGGGCTAGGCCTGGGACAGCACCTCGGACAGCTCCTAGATCTAGCGGCCGCGTGTTTCTCGCGAGAGTGATCAGCAGCCAGGCGTGGGGCAGTAGTCTCGCGAGAGCCGCTGCAGAGGCCAGCGGGGGCGCGCGAGAATCGGGTCCCCGGCGCGCGCTTCCCCAGCCCGCGCGGCTCGGCGCCGCCTCGCTCTGTGCAGCGCAGCAGCTGGGGTGAGTTGCGGTCCGCGGGGACCGGACAGGACGGAGCCGGGGGTCGGGGCTTGGGATTGGTGCAAGGACTGGGGGCCGGCGCAGCTCTGCATCCGGCTGAGCTGCCGGGGTGCAGAGTTGGGGTGACCTTCCTTGCGCACCCCCGCCGCAGCCCCTGCTGTCCCCGTCCTCGGTCGCGCGCTGGACTCGGGGTCCGGTGACGTCAGACCCTTCATCCTGGGGCCTTGTCCGTGAACCTCTCTTTGGGACCTGGGATGGGAGCGCGAGTGGCCCTCCCTGCCCAAAGCGCCCAGGTGACCCGTGTGTCCCCACCCTCCCTCTCCTGCGGCGACCTTCGGGTGAGGAATTAAGCTGCCCCGGGGGTAGGGAGGGGGATGGGCGCTTTGGTTGGGCCTGGACCCCACCAGGGCCTGGGTGGTGGGTTGAGGGCGCCGCATATATCAGCCATGAACCGGTCACGAGGAAAGAAGCGAGGTGTGTGGGGACCGATCCCTGTCCCCCCTCCGGGAGCTGCTGGCCCGAGGGTTGGGAAAACCAGGTAGTACAAGCCCATCGTGTTCCAGCTCCCCACGGGGACATCGGAGGGCTTGGCCGACTTTCCCGGGAACGCAGGGAGAGAGACAGGCAAAGCTGGTGAACCGGAGACTGGAGGTGAGATTTGGGTGGAAGGAGGGGCAGGATAGGGCGGCAGGGAGCGACACAGACCAAGGCCGATAGGTAGGAACAAACACCTTCCCCCTCCCAAGCCCGGCCCTAGAACCGTGCCCCAGGATGGGAGGGATTAGAAATTTTTGCATCCTGTGCTCTCTCAGTTATGCATGCACAGCTCAGAGCTCTGGAAGAGGGAGATGGTTCTGGTAGGGGTGTGAGTGGCAGAGAGGTCTTGTTTGGGGCTCTGCGGGGTTCTAGCTTAGTTCCACCAGAGCCCAGTGAGTCTGCCAGGAAATTCTGCACTGCAGAGAAGCCCACTGCTGCCAAATGGCTCCAAAAAGGGCACCTCTTAATCAAGCACAGCCCATGAAGCCAACGGGGTCCTAGAGGGGTGTCCTGATAGGGCCTGGGGCTCCATGGCGGTTTCCTTAGCCCATTCTCTGCTGGCCACCTCTGAACACGTTGGTTTTCCTCTCTGGGCATCTTTCTGCCAGCACCTGTTTCTAGGGACAGAATGACAGGACCAGGTAGCAACCTCCCTAAAGGAAGCTCCTTTTTCTAGTTTAGCACAAATTCCCCAGTTTTCTTCCTTCTCCCTCCCCCATCCCCTGTAGCACTTCCTCTGCTGGCTGCACTTCCTGTCCCACTGCCAGCCTGGAGTCCTTGAGGGTTTCCTGGAGGAAGTGTGATCAGCAGGCTTGACAGAAGCTGTGGCCTTTTCCTGTTAGGGAGAGGGCATCAGTTTCCCCACCCCCCATCCTTGGGATGATGTCCAAGTTTTAAGTCATTACTGAATACAAATTGACTGTGCTCCGTGGGTCCCTTTGGAAGCCATCTGTGCAGAACTGGGAATGAGATTGGCTGAGGATGGATGATTACTAAGTGCCCAGCAACCGGTTTGGAATTGGTGCAGTGAGCTGCAGAGCATGGATGTCTAGAAGGCTTCTGGGAAGAGGCAGGCTATAAAGAAATGTGGGGATTTAGAGGCTGCTGGTTTGGGATACCCAGAACAAACAAGGAGGCAGACAGTATCTTCTACGTGGAGGTGAGGATGTAGGAAGAAAATAGCCCAGAGTAGAGAAGCCGAAGATGGTGGGGAAGGAGGTTTGTAGCTGGCTGTCACAAAGACTTGAATGCTCGGCACAGGATTTGTAGGAGGCTTCAGAGGAGGCATCAGAAGAGAAGGCTGGCACTGCTGCTTTCTGAGGATGAGTCATAGTCCGAGACTTTGGGGCTGGGAGGTGGATGAGGGGATTAGAAGTGGCAGAAGGTGGAAGCCCTCATATTAGCAGGTAGATTCTGACAAGTGAATAAAAAGTGACCCTTTGTATGTCAGGGATGAGAGGTGCATCATGGAGGAGTTGGGGGCTTTGGAGCTCCCCTAGTTTCTGTGCTGACCTGCAGCCAGGCTTGACTGTACTTGGACCTGGTTCTCCTTCTGTGGCACCTTTCATTCCCCCAGCCTCTCAGTAAGCAATGGAATAAAACACATTTGGGGATTCCTGGCCAAAGGTCAGGTTATATTTGGTGTATTATTGATAACTAAAGAACGGTTTCCTTAGACCACACTTTTGTAGAGATATGTGGCACTCACCCCCAACTCCATTATAAAGAGTCTCAATTGAGGAGGAAATTGTTACTTTTTTTTTTTTTTTGTCTTTTTGAAACAAGATTTCACTATGCAATTCAGGTTAGCCTTGAATTCACTTAGTAGCCCAGGCTGGCCTTAAACTTGCAACAATCCTCCTGCCTTAACCTCCCCAGTGCTGGGATTGTAGGCATGCACCATCATAGCTGGCCTATACCTGTGTTTGCAATCTGAGAATTTTGGTTGCCAAAGTCAAAGATGATGGTCAATTCCCTACCTTATTCCCCACATGCTGCAAGTAAAAGGTCTCAATGCCCAGAGCTTTGCATTCTGAAACCCCAGCCTGCTCTAACTCTCCTAAACCCTTGGTGTTCTCTGCCCAAACCTTCACTTGAAAGCAGGCAGCTTTGCCTTGGGCTCTGTCCTCTTTTCTGAATCACCCACATTTTTAAAAAAAATTATTTTTATTAGTTCATGTTTGCATATATGCTGATTACATTCATTGTGGGGAGCTGCAACAGGTACACAACACACCTTAATTCTCTTTTATGTCCCCTTCCCCACCCTCTCTCCCACCTGCCTCTATCTCTTGACCCCTTCCCTTTTGCAGAAGACCTCTCTCCCTGTTTCCTATGACCTTTCTTATATTTTGCTCTTTAATTTATTTATGCTTTGGATTTGTCATATAAAAGAAGCCATAAATATTTTAATCTTTTATTTTCTTTTTTTTAAAATCTTTTATTTTCACTTAACATTATGGTTTATTTCATTTATTTATTTCACTTAACATTATAGCTTTAAGATGCATCCATTTGCCTACAAATGACTCAAATTTATTCTCCTTTATGGCTGAGGATATATATAAATACCATGTTATTTATAAATACCACATTCATTTGTATAAATACCATGTTTTTATTCATGCGTCTTTTTTTTTTTTTTTCACCAGGAATCAAATTCAGGACCTTGCATTTGCCAGGCAGGCATTGTGCTGCTAACTATACCACTGGCCTATCTGAGCATCCCTTGATAGACTGCTTTCAAGATTTAGCTATCATGAATAGCAGCTGTGTTGCTATAAACATGCATATTGCATGGATCATATACAATATGATGTCTTTAACTCTTTTGAGAAAATACCTAGAAAGGGAATAGCTGGGTCAAATGGAGTTTCTATTTTTAATTTTTTGAGGAATCTCCCCATTGATTTCCATCATGGTTGTACTAGTTCACATTCCCACCAGCACCATAGAACAGTTCCCTTTTCCTTGCATCCTCATCAGCATCTGTTGTTACTGACTTTCTGATGACAATCATGCTTTCTGGAGTAAAATGGAATCTCAGTGTTCATACACACTTGGCTGCTCCGAGTTCTCTGTCCCTGGGATTACCTTTGGGATAGCCTGGACCCAGAATCAGAAGAGTCTGGAGCCGGGGCTTGGGGAGCAGTTCCTGGGAGGCTCCTTCCATGTGGTTGCCTCTCCTCCCTCTTCCTGTCTGCCACACCTGAGTCCAGTCATCTAAAGTGTGTGTCCACCAAACCCAGTCTCCTTCTCTGGCCACCGTCTGGCACCTGCTTCATGTGACCTCATAGAAACCTCCAGCCCTGACATCTCCACTTTCTCCATTTCACTTGCATCACTCCCTCTGATCGTTGCTAGACTCATGGTCACAACGGCCCGTCTTCCGTCCGTCGCCCAGAGAAACCCTTGTTCTCAGAGACCATAGATGGGGCCACTCCACCAGAGCCTTTACTCAGGAGCGGTGGGGCTGCATGTGTGGAAGGAGGAGCCACATTCTCTACTTCTCAAGTCCCAGAGAAGGAAGCACTTAATTAAGTGCATTCCCCGCCCCTGCGCTGTGGCTGCTGCCCCTACCTGCCCCACACCAGATTCTCCCCCCCCCCCCCCGCCCACCTGGCCTCGCCACCGCCTTCCTCTCTGCTTGTCAGTATGCTCCACATGCCATGGCAGCACTGAAAAAAGCTTGATTTTTCTGAATCTTGCACATTTGATTTATTTACGCCACATCTATTACTGCCTGGTTAACAAACTAGGAACATCCATCCAAATTCACCCACTGATGGGGTCAACTTTCTAATGTCCTGCTCGCTCACAAAGTGGAGATGCCTTCCCCTCATAATTTGACTTTATTGTTTAGTACATGTTAGTAGTACGTAGTGATCACCTTCCTTGTGTGGAGTTTGTGCATGAATATAATACATCTTTTTTTTATGTTGTCTGAATTACTTTGTTTTGTAAATGGGATTGAAGGGAGGAAAGGGGAACAGGGAAAAAAAGACGCAAGATATATTTATTATGCACAGGTATGAGTGCCCTATGATAGTATCATTATGTGTATCTAAAAGATACCAGTAAAATTTTTTAAATGCAAAATTCATTTGTCTAAAATTAGGATAGCCCCTCCTGCTTTTTTCCAGGTTATATGGAATATTGTTTTCCTGGAATATTGTTTTTTCCTGTTATATGGAATATTGTTTTCCATCCTTTGATTTTTAATCTGTGCATTTCTTTTTTGGTATCAGGAATCGAACTCAAGACCTTGCGTCTGCCAGGCAGTTGCTTATGCTGTGTATTTCTTTTTGAATTAAATGTGTTTCTTGTATATAGCATATCATTGGGGTTATTTTTCTTTTCTTTTTTTCTATATTTTCGAAACAGTGTCTGTGTGTAACCCAGGTGGCCTCAAATTTACAGCAATCCTCCTGCCTTAGTACCTCAAGTGCTGGAATTATAGGATGCGCCACCATACCTGGCAGAAATTGTTCTCTTTTAGGGCTTGAAACACTCTACTCCAGGCTCTTCTGGCCTTCTAACGTTTGTGTTGGGAAGCCTGCTATAATTCTAATGGGTTTATATATGTGATTCATCGCTTATTCTAACAGCTTTGAAGATTCTATCTCTGCCAGGTATGGTGGTACACGCCTATAATCCCAGCACTTGTGAGGCCGAGGCAGGAGGATCGCTATGAATTTGAGACCAGCCTAAGTTCCAACGTGAGTTCAAGCCCAGCCTGAACTGCATATCAAGACCCTGTCTCAAAAAGACAAAAAAAAAAAAAAAAATTCTGTGTTGAACT